CCCCACATTAAGTAACAGCCGTCTAAATTTTGCCGCTTCATCGTGAACAAGCGCTTATTTTAATTTCACAATTAGTCACATGCGAATTGCAGCGCGATCGTTTGAAAGCTGTCTGTACGCGCTGACATGGTGATGGTGATGGTGCTGTTGTTGCTGGCGAATTAGTGAATTAGTTATGTTGTGCGCCCCAGCCTCGGGTGCAAATCTCTAGAAGGCCAACAACTTGTTAATGCCACTGTTGCATTTATCATATCTAGAAACACATACATACATAGTATATAGTCACAGCTGATTGTGTTGTGGTTGGTTGGTTGTTTAGCGGACAATAACAGAAATTAGCACTTGGAGTCAGGTGCTTGCTGCCCGCGCTTCGTTTGCTTGCCTGAAGCTGTGAGCTGCCTACTAACAGCTCAACTAGCCACATTCCTCACTAATTGACCTAACTAGCGCCCGTATGTATTAATGTGAGAGTAACTAGCCGGCAGCTATGGGCTTGAGTCGGTGCCAGAGCTTGCGCTAGTGCTAGAGCCAGATCAGCGCGCGAGTATATTAATCTCCCCTTCTTGCTCTTCACACTGCATAATTATGTACATACATACGTCTCACTGCAGTTGTTTGTTGTTTGCTTGTTTTTGTCAATTTTGGCATTTCATCTCGGTTGACTGCTTGAGGTGTTGTTTATTGCTGGTGTATAGCACCCGCTTTGCTGGCGCCAGGCGCAAATAAACGAGCGAACACAAGCGTTGTGGAGATTAGGGGTGCCAACATTTTCTAAGAAATTTATAGTACTTTTTCAAAAAAATCTGAGAAAATATAGTACATTTCAAATAAATATAGTATTATATTTAAAAAAGAAAAAATTAAAACGTCTTTATAATTCTTTGAAAGTATCATATGCTTTAACGCAATCAATATTTAAATTTAAATTAATATAAATCAAAAGTTAAATTTTATTGGTGAGCTTTGTTTCTCTTATCTCGCCATTTGACATTCATAATAGAAAATGCCCTTTATGTGAATGTCGAAGTTGCAGGTATAGAGGAGCACGAACGAAATAAGTTTAAGTAAATTTGTTCATTCTTTCTAAGTATTTTTAAAAATGTTGCAATTTTTGATCTGTGGTTCAATTAATAAACTCAGTATGACCTTTTATTTTAAAGAATATTTCTTTCAATAGTATATGTTATAGTACGGTTGGCAACCCTAGTGGAGATGGACTATTCCCATTCACGATTTGCTGCTTAAAATTACTTATTTTTTTATATATTACACATGTGTACATATGTATTTATGTGCCTTGGTTTCATTACTTTGTTCCACTGACAATCGCACTGAGCATTATCGCTGGCGATATTTGTAGCAATGATTTTCAACACAAGTGTACGCACATATGTACATATGTACATACATACGATTTTAATATAAGATTTAGATTTTAACTAAATAAATATGTTTTTTGTTTTTTTTTTCTGTATTTTCACACTTACTTGCATATTCACGCTTCGTATGCACATCCACAGCGAGGTACACATTGCTGAAGCTGCCCTCGCCAATATACTTGCCAAAGATGTAGTCGTTTGGCGATTTCTTTGGCGGCGTTACAGCTACATTATTTGTGGGGGAGGTCGATGCGCAGACTGACGCCGTGGCGCAGAGTGTGGGAGCCGAGGCGATGTTGATGGCGGCGGTGGTGGGTGCAGCTGCGCCACCACCTGCATGCCCGTTGTTTGTGCGCGCAAACTGTGGTTGTGGTTGTGGTTGCTGTTCGCCATTAAATCCATTCTGTTGGTGTTGCTGCTGCGGCTGCGATTGATAGCGACAACATGTCGGCGTATGCTGCGGTGATGTAGCACCGTTTTGCTGGGCTGAAGCAACGGCGGCGGCCAAAGGTGATGAATGTCCTGCAATTTGAAGAAGTAAAAGTTGTATAAAAAATTCAGTACGAACGCTCGAACGTTAAGCTGGCTGCTACAACAATAATGCCTACCATTTGTCAAATACTTGCTGCTGGCATGATTTATGTTGCCCACCGTCTCCGGTATAGCGGACGCAGTGCCGCAGCCACAAACACTGTTGCGGGACTGCGGTTGCTGGTGTGACAGATGTTGTTGCTGCTGTTGTTGTTGTTGTTGTGTTTGACGTTGCGCCCAATGCTGCTGTGCCGGAGGCGCTGTGCCCAACGTTGTTGTAGTCTGTACTGTAGAGGGAAGATGATGTGTGGGGGTGTTGGCTGCATGCTGATGCATGCGACTTGTTGCCGTGGTGGCCATGACGGCAGTTGCGGCGGTGGCGGATGTGGATAATTCTTTCAATTTCAATTCACTAAAATTATTTTCATTCAACGATACTGCGGTGGCCTTTTCTTTGGGCATCGCTGGCATTGTGCTGCACGGCGATAAAATTTGTTGCTGCTGTTGACCGTTTATCTGTAAAAAAAAAAAAAGAGTATAAAATTTTTGTTAAGTGCTGTTTGTGTGTTTTCTTTTTGTATCTATATGAGTTAAAACCAATATAATTTAATAAAAATACGAAAACTTTTTTAAGCCTAATAAGTATCTAAGAACCGATGGGCGGATTAATTTGATAGTTATGTAGTTATGTTCTTTTAATCACCTACATAAGCCTAAATTATATATTTTTTATATAGTTATGTACATATGTACACACTGTGCCCATATATATGTATGCATGTATGTACATGTGTACGAAAACCAATAAAAAAATAATAAGCGAAAGAGAGGATATTAAAAGAACAACCGGTGATGTGCATATGAAGAAGATCACGGCTTTCTGGCGGCAAGAGAGGTTGGCTGCTCAGTAGGTAGGTATGTGAGGAAACAACAAAGTGGGAACTGAAACTGTATATCTTAATTCATAAACGGGTTCAAGGATCCGCTTGCAAGAGGTCATTCACCGAACAATTGGCCAGACTACACTGGTGGCTCCTTCACTCAGAGAGAAGTTGGTAGGCAAAAAGAGACACTCACAGCTGCGTAAGCACTACTACATAAAGATGTTCTTTTTTGTATATCTAATGGGGGATGGTAGTAAGCAATTTGGCATTTTTCTGTACAACCAAGTTTTGTGCTAGAATTAGTAACATTTTCATTTAAATAGGCAAAAGAGAATTTTGCAAATGGTAAAAATTAGCAACGTCCAACATGTTCCGAGACTGCACGCTCTAGTTGTGCTTAGCGCGACAGCTTTTCTTTACAGTAGGCGTAGTACTTTAAGCCAATTAGTGCGAACTTTGCTCATAGCTATGTATGTATGTATGTACGTATGTAGGTATAGTTATAAATAAACAATCACAAAGTTATGTGTGCAAATATCAAATGCATTGATTATTGCTTACTTGTCGAATAATGAGAGATATTGAAAGCGTTATTATTGCCGCTTTTTGCCCATTCGTTTGCGCTCAGACAATTTGGGATTTATGTATTCTTCCCCAACCAGACAAGTAGCAATCAGAAGAGTTCTGCTAAAGAAGCCTCTCCAGAGTTGGCACCTTCCCTCTGCTGCTTACCAACGGCAGTTATCCTTTAGGCAGACCCGTAACAAACAGCAGTATTTCCTTTCATTGATCACTTACTTTTAATAATGTATTGGTGAGAGTTGGCCATTAGGGAGCTTCTGCACAGGTAGCGATCATGATCTCATATTCGTCGCGAATACCAACGCGAATTTCGCTGTTGTTGCTGTTAGTGCTTTAACCAATATAAACAGACAGACGCACACTTTTCAGCAGCAATCCCTACTCTCATTTCTTCTCATTGGCGCTCAATATGAGACTAAGCTTCTGAGAGACGATTAATATATGTAGGTACTAGGCCGGATATCCATGTGTTTGTATGTACATATGTATATGCCTACCTAAATAGTTATCCCCCTATAAAGTTGATGGCTTTAGAGACTCGCAGGGTTATTCCAATGTGCGCCTGCTGTTGTATGCATAACTGCTTTTAACGGTATAAGTAAACTGTTGTGGCCATTGATCAACAACGATGCAATCAACTACTATGCTGCTAATGAAAAGAGTCAACTCTGATTGCGTACGTTGACTTTTTGGCGGCCACACGACGACGAGTGCTTGCGGTATTTATTCGTGAAACGTGTTTCTAATTTACTCAGAAATGTTCAAATAGTTGCACACATTTCGCCAATTATAGTTAAAATTTCATGACTTGCACGCTTAGGGAATTCCTCAACACATCTGTATTTCGCTCGATAATATCTAAAAATATGCACCAAGTACTATACACTAAACGCTACTACCTCGTTCTCGTCCTCAGCCTCAGCCTCAGCTCCTCGATTCATAATTGCTTTTGGCTGCTGGCTTCTGATCAAATTTCACTTTTCATTTTGAGCGAACGTGTGCATAGAGCGATGATTTAATTTCTCTGCCTGCCGATATATTTAGCAGCATTTATATTTAACGGGCAAATATTTTCGAAAAATGCATAAATACCGCAGACAAGTGGAAATGGCTGGCTGACTTGCAACGCTACAACGCTAATGAGCGGCGGCGGCGGCGGCGTAAAAATGTTTCAAAAACATTTCAACACATGCGGAATGAAATCATTGCCGATCTGCAGTTGTATGTACATATGTATGTATTGACGAAAGTAAGGAACACAAAAACAAAAACGAAAAAGGGAAATACGCGGAGGGGGCTGGCTTCTTGGGTAGGCTATTGTTCGATTTTTCTTTTTAATCAAGTTACTTGAACCTTGGATTTTCTGATTATTGGGTAGCCGTTTTCCAATGTCAACATACATATCTACATGCCTACTAGCCAAGTGCTAAATGTAAGCGCCAATATATTTTTAATTTCACTTATTTATTTTTCTTAATGTTTTTTTTGTTTTGGCTACGTTGGATTATGGCGAGCAGAATTTCTTGTCTTTCTTCTGTTTGTGCAACAGTTTTGAAATGTTTTCCAACGGCAACAAACACCACCTACACAACAAGCGAAAGTCTTGAACGCCCACAATAGAATGACAACAACAACAACGAGGCACGGCAGATAGCTTTCAACAAACAGGCAAATGCAAAAATTCAATCATTAGGGGTATTCACGATCCGGTGCATACTGTCTAGTATGGTGCATAGATAGCATGATTGATATTTATGCTGTCTATGCACCATGCTAGACCACATGCACCGGATCGTGAATACCCCTATTGTCTTTTTTTTTTTGCTATTGGGTACATTAAGGTGTGACTATGTAGTTTGTAATTGACAAATTTGAGATTTTAATAGTTAATGAAAAACCAGTAAAAAGTATATTCAAATTTATTAATAAAAAGCTTTTCTTGTCAATTTATGTACTCAGTGCCAAAAAAATTAAGAGATTTTTTTTTTACCATTAATAATGGATATGTGAGATTAAGTGTGCATCTATCGATTCTGAACATTAAGTCCACCCACCCTAATGAAGAGATGTGCATTTGTGTTTATGTTTTTACCGTTGTTCTGTTTACATATGTACATACATACATACATACATTTTGTTGGCACAAAAACTGTATTTGTTGCTGATGCTGATGTTGCCGTTAATGTCTAGACGAAAATGACATTTAAATAAAATTAAAATTAATCTAATTTATGGTTGTCGTATGCGTTGCCCAAGTGTGAAACGATCGTTGCGCCGACTAATGTCACAAACAGACGGCACGACACTTTCGACTATTTTTAATAAAACAGAAAGCTTAATTTAAAAACAAATGTCTATTAGCGCGAAGAGGGATAGGGAGGGATAGGGTGGCAGGCGGCAGGCGGCAGGGGGCGTGAGCATAGAGGAAAATGTGTGGCAACCTGATACATACTTACTATGTACTTATTGATTATGATGAAACGGCCAGGGGAATTGTAAATTTGTGTTAGTGGTTTCATACACACCCTGTAGGCGATAGTAACTAGATCGCCACCAGTTCAAAAGCAGCGATATGTGCTACTTTTAAAAAGCAATTTTAGAAATCTATATCTAAAATGACGAATTTAGAACTGGTTCAAAACTATAGAAAAAGGGATGCAGAACGAACTAGATCTCATCTGGCGAACATACACATGAAAATCGTCGCAGAAATAAAAAAAAGCTGTAACTAACTAAAATCTTTTATTGCGATGTGGATGGAGACTTATATTTAATATTGTGCACAGTTTGAAACTTGGATGTATACGGATTTTCTTAAAGAATGAACTATATTTTTATTTAAAAAAATAACCAAAATTAAAAAAAAACAAAAAAAATATGTTAAAACTTGTCAAAATTTGATGCGGGTAGATATAATTATTACGACCACTGTATGTATGTATTAAAAAAAAGGCTATTCCGTTTCATTTTCGCGAAAATTTTGCATTTTTCTGCATGCGTACATATGTATGTATGTGTGTAAGTAAAAGCAGAAGCACGTATTATGGGCGTAGTAAATATGTGCGAATAGCGTACCTACCATTGTGTTTTCGCTATGGCTGCTTATCTTACAGTACAATAAAATAGGCGTTTTTTGCTTTCGTTCTTTCCTCAATACATATGTACATACTAACAAGTGTATCTACCGGATACACTTGATTTAAGAGCACCGCAGTTGATTTTAAACGCGAAATTTCACAACTGCAATGCGCAAAAAAACTCCAAGTCGCAAGCGAATTTGCGTATTTACCAAAGTTCATTTTGCTAAATTCGCAAATTGCGGCAAATTAACGCATGCATATTTGTTTTGCGTTTCTTAGGCCTCTCCCGAACGTTTTACTCTTTGAGAACGTTCACTGAAATATGTAGGAAAAGAGCCGCTGTTGTTGATGCGCTCAGGTGTGTGTCTGTGTCAGTGCTTCGAGTCGGTATTTAGGTAGTTAATTAATATTTGTAAATAATTGCTATTTTCTTTTGGCGAAATGTTTCGTTTGTTGCACGGCATATTACCATATGTATGTATGTTTGTATGTAGATATTTCCATTTTGAGATTGCATGCTGCACGTTCGTTCGTTGCATAGCGAGTTTGTGCAGTCCACCCACTTCCCACCCAACGCAGGCTTCTGCTTCTGCTTCTGCCTCTTGAAAAATACCTGAATCAGCTGTTGTTGCAGCTTTTCCATTTGCACTAACCGATGCGACGTTGTTTTTCTGTTTTTTTATTCTTCTTGGCGTTGTAGTTGTTTTGATTGCTGCTGCAACACGCAAACTAGGAATTTTGATTAAAAGAAAGTCGACGAGGAATTAATGAGCAAACACACGAATCACAGAAGGCAAGTGGAAAACAAAGGAATTAAAGCGCATGCAGCAAACTCTTTGCAGTAAAAAGTTGGTAAAAATTTAAATTACAATTCCAAATACAAAGATATGAAATATTTCGACATTTTTGTTTTGTATGTACATATTTTCACTTTCACGAAATCGCTATAACAGCTACAGAAACAACGTAC